GGGGTGGAGGGCAAATAATGGGGAAAAGGAGTAGAAGCAACTGTCAAAACTCCTCCAAGATCAATTTCTTGGATTTTTGCTATGGAAGAAAAGCTGCAATCTGCAAGGGCAAGAGCTATAAAAATTGTCACCTAAGGGTATTGTGGAATCCCATTACGCCTCAGGAAGAGAACAAGGCAAAAAAAAGTTCTACTCCTTGGGGTTGAGGACAGGGATATATGCTAGGTCCAGCTGTACAGCTGGAGGAGGGGCAGGATCACTTGTGAAGGCCATGCTTCCAAGATCCAGGATCACATATCTAAGATTAAGGGTTAACCAGAGCATCAGAGAATACATTTCCCTTGTCCCCCACCAGCCCACTAACAAGTATCGAGTAAAAATAACAGTGGAATACAGCTAGGAGATCTTGAAGAAACAGATTATCTCTAGAGAGCAGGGAAAATGGAAAACACAAAGCTAAAAGGGAGCAGAAATGTAGGCACATTTCACTAGTCCACAACCCTAAACACAAAATATCAGAGTAATCTGAAGCATGCATTCACTGAGGGTGACCATAGGAAAAATGGACCGAAACTCAGTCCAGCTGCTCATTAGATTAATCCTCACACTAAGGATTTAGTATAAAGAAAGACACGTTTGTCTCCAAACAAATAAATTTATACTTCAGTATTTACTATCCTATCCATGTCCAGCTTTCAACAAAAAGTTATAATGTATACAAAAAGATAAGGAAAAATACACTCCGAAGAGACAATATAAACATCAGAACCAAATGCAGATTTGAGACAGATATTAAGACTATCAAACAAGGAATTTAAAAATAAAAATGATCAATAGGTTAGACATTTTAATGGAAAAAGTAAACAATAGGGGCACCTGGGTAACTCAGTTAGTTAAGCACCTGACTCTTGATTTCAGCTCAGGTCATGATCTCAGCTTATAAGATTGAGCCATGTGTCAGGCTCCATGCTGACAGCAAAGAGCCTGCTTGGGATTCTCTCTCCCTCTTTCTCTGCCCCTCCTCTGTTCTCTCTCTTCTTTAAATTTCTTTTTTTTTTAATTTTTAATTTATTTTGACAGAGAAAAAGAGCTAGGGAGGGGCAGAGAGAGAGGGAGACACAGAATCTGAAGCAGGCTCCTGGCTCTGAGCTGTCAGCACAGAGCCCAACATGGGGCTTGAACTCATGAACTGTGAAATCATGACCTGAGATAAGTCAGACAGTTAACCGACTGAGTCACCCAGGCGCCCCCTACCCTGTTCTCTTGCACACGTTCTCTCTCAAAATAAACAAACCTTTAAAAAAGTAAACAATATACAAGACCAGACAGTTGATTTCAGCAAAATGATGGAAACTGTAAGAAAAGATCAAATAGAAATGTGAGAAATAAAGAACACTATAATAAAGATGAAAAATGCCTTTAGCAATTTCATCAGTAGACTTGACATAGCTGAAGAAAGAATTCATGAACTTGAAGATAGGTCAATAGAAATTACCTAAATCAAAACACAAGGACCAAAAAAAAAAAAAAAAAAAAAAAAAAAAAAAAAAAAAAAAAAAAAAAAAAAAAAAAAAAAAAAAAAAAAAAAAAAAAAAAAAAAAAAAGGAGCATCCAATAGCTATGACAGAATATCAAACTAACATACAGATTATTAGAATCCTAGAAGGAAGAGACAGAATAAATAGAGAATATATATATATTTAAAGAGATAACAGCTGATAATTTTCCAAAACTTATGATAGATTGAGAAGTTCAGAGAATGGTAAGCAGGATTAATATAAATAAATAAATAAATAAATAAATAAATAAAAATTAAAAATCCTACAAAACCCTAGGCATATTATATTCAAACTGCCATAAAGACAAAAAAAAAAAAAAAAAAAAAAAGATTTTGAAGGCAGCTAGAAGGGAAAGACCCAACTTACAGAGGCTCATGAACAAGAATTACAGCAGACTTCTCATCAGAAAGTATGCAAGCAAGAAGACAATAGTGTGGCATTTTTAAAGTCCTTTTAAAAATTCTGTCAGCTGAAAAGATATCCTTTAAATATTAACAGAAATAAACAGGGGCGCCTGGGTGGCTTAGTCGGTTAAGCGTCCGACTTTCGCTTAGGTCATGATCTCGCGGTTCTGGGTTCAAGCCCCGCGTCGGGCTCTGTGCTGACTGTCAGCTCGGAGCCTGGAGCCTGTTTCAGAGTCTGTGACTCCCTCTCTCTCGGACCCTCCCTTGCTCACGCTCTCTCTCTCTCTCTCCTAGAAATAAATAAAACATTAAAAAAATTAAAAAAAAAAAAGAAATAAACATATTGTTTAGACAAGCAAAAACTGAAGAGGTGCTTTGCCAGTAGACATATTCTAATAGAAATGTTAATGAAAGCACTTTAGAGAAAGGATTATGATACAGGTCAGAAACCTGGATCCTCAATGATAAGTGTTAGAAATGCATTAAATGAAGGTAAATGTATTGGGCTGAATCTTATCTCTCCAAAGTTCATGTCTACTGAGAACCTCAGAATGTGACCTTATTGGAAATAGAGTCTTTGGATATGTAATTATTTAAATCAACATAAGGTAATACTAGATTAGGTGGACCCTAAATCCCAAGACTGGTGTCCTTACAAGAAAAGGAAAGGACACAGAGATACACACAGGGAAGAAGGCCATGTGGTGAGAGGCAAAGCTACAAGCCAAGGAACACCAAGGATTTCCTGGAGACACCAGAAACTATGAAAGGGCAAAAAAGAATTCTCTGCTAGAGCCTTCAGAGGGAGCATGACTCTGCTAACACCTTGATTTCAGAACTCTAAGCCCCAGAACTGTGAGTGAATATTTTTGTTTGTTTCAAATCACCAAGTTTGTAGTAATTTGTTATGACAGCCATAGAAAACTAAGAGAGTGAAATAAAATTCACTTTTATTTTTAATTCTCAAAATTGGCAGTTTAAACCAAAAACTGCAACAATGCCGTGCATGTTCATAGCATATATAAAAGTAAAATATGTAAAAAGGAAGCAAGGGAGAAATTGGAAATACAAGGTCTTAAGACTACATTGAAGTACTATATTATATGAAGGTAGACTCATATTATTTACAATGTATTTTGTAATTCTTAGAGCAACACCAGAACATTTTACTAAAAGGTAAAACAATAAATAAATTAAGAGGATAAAAAAAGAGAAACTTCCAAATACATTTTATAAGACCAGTATTACCCTGATAATTGATAACAAAACTAGACAAAGACATTAGAAGAAAACTCTAGATCAAAAAAAAAGATAGAAAAAAAGAGAAAACTATAAACCAATATCATCCCTAATTAATATTGATGCAAAAATCCTCAACAAAATACTAACAAATTGAATCTAGCAATATGTATATATAAAGGATAATACATCAAAATCAATTGAGGTTGATTCCAGGAAGGCAAGGCTAGTTCAATACTCAAAAACTTAATCAATATAATTTACCATAATAATAGACTAAATAACAAAACACATTATAATCTTGGGGTGCCTGTCAGTTAAGCATCTGACTTTTGATTTTGGCTCAGGTCATGATCTTGTGATTATGAGTCTGAGCCCCACATCAGGCAATATGCTAATGGTGCAGAGCCTGCTTGGGATTCTCTCTCTCTCTCTCTCTCTCTCTCTCTCTCTCTCTCCCTCTTCCCTGCTCTGTCTCAAAATAAATAAATAAATTTTAAAAATACATTATAATTTCAATAAAGGAAGAAAAATCATTTGACAAAATTCAGTTTCTATTCATGATAGAAACTGTCAGTAAAGCAGGGATACAGAGGGGGCTTTCTAACCTGATAAAGGGCACAGGATTTTTAATATCTTCTATTACTTTTTCCAAGAGCCACAAGATGAGTACTATTAATATCAGAATACAATGAGGAAACTAAGGAACTGAGATCAGCTAATTTAACTACTGTCTCCATCTAGTAAGCAACAGATGTAGGATTACAATCCACATCTATCTGTCTCAAGAGCCCACTCTTTCTACTATGATATCTCACCTCCCAGTTTGAAAAAGAAATGGAAATTGCAATTTGCAACAATGGCTTGGAGATTAGAATGGACACTTTAATAGAAAATTGGTACTTGCATTAATTATCTTTTCAGAAAATATGTAAAATTTGAGTGAGGATAAATTTTGGATTACTAAACTTTACCTTTATGAGGAAAATTATGTAGTATATGTGACTGGTTAAAATGTCTTATATCTTATAAATCCTAAAATATAAATGTTTTTAGAAAAATGAGATCGATTTATAGAAAACAAATCAATGAAATTTTATTCTGAAAGATCAAAGATGTTCACAAATATTTATGTATGAAAATTTTCATTCTAGTGTTTAAAATAGCAAAAGGAATGGTAGCAATCTAATGTTCACTGAAAAATGAGATATTAAATTATTTTGTACAGTAGGATAAAGTGCATTTGTGGGAATTTGTGCTTCCAATATTTTAAGCCTATAAATAGAGATCAAGATTCATATATAGAAAAAGAGACTAGAATGGAGTACACTAAACAGTAGCATTGGTCATGTGAATGGTTCTATTCTTTATTTTTTCTTCATTTTCTTAATTTTTCACAATTATATTACTTAAAAAAGTAAAATATTTGTTAAAAAAAAAGAATTTAATGCAGCAAAGCATACACTGTTAGGAGGAAGATTTTGCAAAGCCAGAGAGAGATGAACTCACTTGAACACAGGGATTATCAGTTTATTGTAGGTTTTGACCATGTCTCTGCTTATTTTCATGCACCAGAAGCCACACAAGACTGTGTAGGAGGTCCCTGGGCCTGAGACGGCTGGATTTGTGGAATGAAAAGTTGTGGTCTCCCAACAGGTCTTCCTGTATGCCTCCCTCCACAGTCCAGACCATTCTATCTCCAACATCGTTTGACATGGCCTTACAAGTTAATGTGCCAATTTGGGGTGCTGTTTGTACATTCTTATGAGGCTTTAATTTTTCTCATTGTTTTGTAGCTATGACACCACTTGAAATGAACAATCAGACAGATGTCACTGAATTCATCTTCTTGGGATTTTCCAACCACCCCAAACTACAGGGCTTGTTCTTCCTGCTTTTCTTGCTCATTTACCTGACAACACTCCTGGGGAACATGCTCATAATAACAGCCACTAGAATCAGTCCTGCTCTCCACACTCCAATGTATTATTTCCTCAGTAACCTGAGTTTCTTGGACATCTGCTATACATCCACCACCATCCCGGTCATGCTGGTGAACTTCTTCCGGGAGAAGAAGACCATCTCGTATGAGGGCTGCCTTTCCCAGATTTTTTTCCTCGTGACATGTGCTGGCACTGAATGTGTCTTATTGGCCACCATGGCTTATGATCGCTATGTAGCCATTTGCCACCCTCTTCAATATCCAGTCCTCATGCATGTGAAGGTCTGTGTTTTTTTGGTGACTGGGTCCTGGCTGTGTGGGCTGGTGAATTCTGTGACACACACGGTGCTGGCAGCCACACTCACTCTCTGTGGGCCCAACCAAATCAGCCACTTTCTCTGTGACATTCCTCTGCTCCTGAAGCTCTCCTGTTCAGACACCTCTCTCAATGAGTCTGTGCTCCATGTGGCAAGTGCCACCATCGGCCTGAGCCCCTGCCTGTTCACTGGGGTGTCCTACATCCTCATCATCTCTTCCATCCTTAGGATTCCCTCTGCTCAAGGCAGGAGCAAGGCCTTCTCTACCTGTGCATCCCACCTCACTGTGGTGGTGGTCTTTTATGGAACAGCCAACTTCAATTATGACAGACCCAGAGAAGGTTACTCCCTAGACATGGATATTCTGGTTTCCGTGCTCTTCTGTGTCATCACCCCCATGTTGAACCCCATCATATACAGTCTGAGAAACAAGGAGGTCAAGGGTGCCCTGAGGAAGCTGACTGGAGGGTATGTGATCTCTGGTAATATTAGTGTCTAGATCAATAGTCTTCACTCAGGTATGAAAAATTTCCAAGATATTTGTAACATGCATAGTTTTCAAATCTGTATCCAGATCTTCAATTCCTACATACCACAAGTACATTGTTTCCACCTTGCAAAGTCATGATGTGTCAGATATTTTGTATTGATTCTCAGCACCATCTCAATCCTTCTAAGTTCTCCCCACATCATAGGGGCTGAAATCCTAGAAACCCTATCAGCAGGTTTCCATTTAAAATTTTGCCAATGTGAGTGCCTGGGTGGCTCAGCTAAGTGTGACTTTGGCTTAGGTCATGATCTCAACGGTTGTGGGTTCAAGCCCTGTGTTGGGCTTCAGACAGACAGCTCAGAGTCTGGAATCTGCTTCAGATTCTGTGCTCTCTCCCACTTCTCTCTCTCTCTCTCTCTCTCTCTCTCTCTCTGTGTGTGTGTGTGTGTGTGTGTGTGTGTGTGTGTGTCTCCCTCCCTCTTTCATAAATAAATAAATAAACATTTTTAAAAAATTAAACTCTGCCAATGTGAGAGTCATACACAAGAGATTAAGAAAGGAATATAGAAGAAATTGTCTTCTTCTGGATCTGGTAGCAGTGACAGATGAGCACTACAGTGGCAGAAAGAGACTCCTGGGTGGCATTAGCTGATGTTTACAGTCTCCTGCTGTTCTTGAAACATAAGGTCACACAACTATGAAATAAGGATTTCTCTATAGGGAGGGTGAGAGCCTTCCATAAAGAGGGCAATATAACATGCTTTCCCCTTTTCCCAATCTTCCAGTTTTTCCAACACTTTTATCACTTATTTCCTGTGTTAAATTCCTCTAGGTTGAAATATCTAGATTAGTCTTTTATTCCCTCCATGAACACTAATTGCTGCAGCATTTTATATCAGGAGTTGTTCTAGGAAACTGACTCTCAAAGGTAGAAGTCTGGATTGAATATCTCATCTGATGGAGTTTAAATAATTTGATGGCATCCTAGCCAATGGAAATGGGGAATCTGATCATTCATGACATGCAATGACAAAAAAGCTGCTTAAAATTATCAACAGACACAGTCTGAAATAAAATGTCTATTGGAAACCAGGCTTTGAAATACCAAATTACTGCTACAGTTGACCTTTGTGGTGGGAATGAAGACTACAAAAAATTTACTGACTGCTATTACTGATTGCAATGGAAGGTTTATAAGGAAGAAAATGACAGTCTCTGGTATTTAAATTCCTCACTCAAGGCAAGGTCAAACACCAAAAAATCTTATATCTCTCTACACTGATAAAGTGTAATTCAAAGCAAAAATCTGATTTTATCAGTTGCATAATTACAAAGTAAATTGTAAATCCATAATTTCTCCAGGTCTCTTATGTACCAGTTGGGACATCGACTTGGGAATGAGTGAGACTATGATTAATAAGATGGGAAAATACAGCGGATTTGGACAAATCTTAGAACCTTGAATCCCTAAATCTCCTTTAACCTTCCCTCCCATCAGAAGTAGCCCCTCCTCCCCTATCTGAGGAGACTAATTGTCCCTTAGGTGAAACCCTATAACTACCTCACCTGAGACAATTGTCTTACAAGTAATGCTAATTGTCTTTAAGATGCTCACCCACCATCTTCATTTCCTCTACACTCTTAATTGAGGTCCGGTCCCAGAATACCTCAGGCTAACTGCACAAGGTATAACCGAGGAGATTATAATGCTCACACCAAAATAAAATTTCAAGATTTTACCAGTTTTTTTGTTGGTAAAAGCCTTGAGAATATGTATGACAATGGAGTCTTAGGGTGCTATACCAAAGAGGACAGAACATATTGCTGGTAATTCTGAATATATTCATATGGACTCATTTACCCGAAATTTTGGGTTCAAATGTGTTATCTTGAACAGATGAGAGGGGCTCCAACTGTTTCTCTCGTTGGTTAACTGAAACCTACACCCAGTAATGGACTCCATTCAATAAAATTCAGATGCCAGGATATTTCTGACATAATGTAAAACATGGAATCCAAATCTTCAGGGAAATAAAAATGTTGGAATGGATTTATTTTACATGACCCTCTTACCCTAGATCCACAAAGTATTCAAGGAGGAAGCAAAATCCCATGCAAAATGCACTGATAAAGGAAGCACCAGCATCCTTGTAAAGCTTGTAGTGGCTGTCCTCTGCAGCCTGGGAAGGACACTAGGAGAGGGCATCATTGAAATGGACTCCCTTATTTCAATGGGGATGCTGGGATTCTGAAGTGGTAGTGAAGAAATTGGAATATTTTAATCTGTAGAGATCTTTGGCAATGGCTAAATGATCACATTATCTCTAGATCTGAAATGAACAGGCTAGATCTGAAATGAACAGGCTTCATTTTACTAAAATGAAAAACCCTAAGTCCAGTAGCTAGAATCATTACTTGAATCATCACAATGGAGAGCCACCCTCAGCCAGCTCTCAGACCTTCTGAACCAACAGATCTAATGAGGTTTGAAGCATCTGTGGCATATGGGCTGCCATTCAAAGTCCCTGAAGCACTAATAGGAGAATCACACTGCCAATCACCTAGAATTTGGAGCAAAGCCAGTCCTCTTCTGATAATGCTTTTCCTTTTGAGAAATAGCTCCTGGCTGCTAATGGGTCCCCGAAGAGACTGAATATCTGGCCATAGAATACAAAGTAACAACGTGACCTAAGCTATTTATATGAACTGTGTGTTCTCTGACCTGCCAAACTACAAATGTGGGTAAATAAGATAGCACCTCATCATCAAGTGGAAATGGTATATACAATGTCAGCTTCCAAATAGTCCTGAAGGCCCAAATTAGTGACATGAGCAAGTGGTTCAAACTTCCAAACAGCTTACTTTATTGTACTGGCACTGCCCTCAATACAAATGAATGGCCTCACAGGAAGTTCTCAAAGGTTGGTTTACAGAAGAAGAAAAAATTAGAAACTGCTTTACAGATAGTTCCACAAGATACTCTGGTACCAGACATGGTAAACTGATACAGCATTATAGCCCCACTCAGGAGAGGCTCTGAAGGAAACTGAGGGAAAGTAATCCTCTCAATGGGTAGAATTTTGAGTCATAAATCTGGTTGTCTCTTCTGTCTAGAAAGAGAGCTGACCAGAAATATGAAGTGATACCAATTCACAATAGCCAATGATTTAAATTGATGGTCAGGAACTTAGAAGAAAGAAAGTTAAAATATTGCTTAACGAGCATCTGAGGAGGGGTGCCTGACTGATCCAGTCTGTAGAGCACATGACTCTTAATCTCATGGTTGTGAGTACAAGCCCCATGTTGGGCATGGAGCCTACTTAAAAAAAAAAAAAAAAGAGGATCTGAGGCAGAGGTATATGAATAAACCCCTCAGAATGGGGCAAACCCTGAAGACATATGCATTTTATGGTAAAAATCATTAAAAGACACTTATTATAGGGAACTTTTCTCTCGCTAATCATATGGAGAGGATGACATGCTCAGTAGAGGTCAGTCAGCCTTTCTCAACCTACCCAAGTGCTTGCTCAGTAGACTCATATACAAAGTAGTCATGTTGGCAAGGACAGATAAAATCCATGAGCTCAACAATATTGACTTTCCCTTCATCAAGTCTTATCTGACTACCACCAATGCTGAGCGTTCAATTTACCATCAGTAGAAGCCAACTCAGAGCCCTTGATATGGCACTATTCCCAATAGGAAGAGATTACCTTGGACGAACTCCATCATGGAAGGCAGAGATCTTTTTTCCTCATCCTGTTTCAGGTTTTAATTTAAATTCTAGTTAGTTAACATATAGTGTAATACTGGTTTCAGGAGTAGAAGTTAGTGATTCATCACTTACATATAATGCCCAGTGCTCATCACAAGTGCCCTCCCTACTACCCAACACCAATTTAGCCATTCCCCCACCCACGTCCCTTCTAGCAACCCTCAGTTTGTTCTCTACAGTTAAGAGTCTATCTTATGGTTTGTCTCCCTCTCTTCTTTCCCTATGTTCATCTGTTTTGTTTCTTAAATTCCACACATGAGTGAGATCATATGGTATTTGTCTTTCTCTGACTGACTTATTTTGCTTAGCTCCATCCATGTCATTGCAAATGGCAAGATTTCATTTTTTTGATGGCTGAGTAATATTCCATTGTATATGTACCACCTGCTCTTTATCCGTTCACCAGCTGAGGGACATTTGGACTCTTTCCATAATTTGGCTATTGTTGATGCTCCTATAAACATCAGGGTGCATGTATCCCTTTGAATCAGTACTTTTATATTCTTTGGGTAAATACCTAATAGTGCAGTAGCTGGGACTTAGGTAATTCTATTTTTAATTTTTTGAGAAACCTCCATACTGCTTTCCATAGTGGTATACCAGTTTGCATTCCCACCAACAGTGTAAGAGGGTTCCCCTTTCTTCTCATCATTGCCAACATCTGTTGTTTCCTGTATTCTTAATTTTAGCTATTCTGACATATGTGAGGTGATATCTAATCGTGGTTTTGATTTGTATTTCCCTGATGATGAGTAATGTTGAGCATCTTTTCATGTGCCTGTTAGCCATCTGGATGTCTTCTTTTTCTGGGCAATTCTGGTGTAGTTGTCCAAATTACCAAAGGAAGAATGCTATTAGGGAACACAGCAATGTTCTAGATCAATGAATCATTGATCTAGAAGTTGAGGTTTCTACTGTCATTTGGGGCTCTAGAAGTAACTGAACCAATAGTGAAAGTAGAAAGCTGCCATATTGCTTAGGGTAAGTATTCTCTATTGTAATAAAAAGAAAGGTTCCATTTTATTTTTCATGTATGACTGCTGAAAGTTTCCAGGTCCCATTCTTTCACGTTCCCCTTGTCCCTTCATTTAAACAAACCAATGAAGCCAGATTCATGGCACCAGTGGTAAGTTTAAATCATGGAAACCCAACCTGCCCTCACCTCCTAGACACATTAAAAGCCAAAGCCAAAGCTTCACTCTTTTTTCACTCAAGAATGAACTTCTCTGGAGATCCTCTTGGTGTTTACCATGTGAGTAATAAACTTTATGTCATATCTTGCATCTGTATAAATCCCTAGAGGAAGAGATGCTGGCCAGCATTCAGCAGGGGATATTACGTGTCCATAGAAGACATTTATTCTTTTTTTGTTATTTTTTATTTATTATTATTATTTTTTTTTACAAATAGTTTATTGTCAAATTGGTTTCCACATAATACCCAGTGCTCATCCCCACAAGTGCCCTCCTCCATGCCCATCCCCCCTCCCCCCCCATATCCATCAGTCCTCAGTTTTTGTCAGCATTCAAGAGTCTCTCATGGTTTGCCTCTCTCCCTTTCCCCCACCATTTCCCCCCTTCTTCTCCCCCTTGTTCCTCAGTTAAGTTCCTCCTAATCCTCCTATACATGCAAACATATGATATTTGTCCTTCTCTGCCTGACTTATTTCACTCAGCATAACACCCTCAAGGTCCATCCATGTTGCTACACATGGCCAGATTTCATTGTTTCTCATTGCCATGTAGTATTCCATGGTATAGATAAACCACATCTTCTTGATCCATTCTTCTGTTGATGGACACTTAGGCTCTTTCCATGTTTTAGCTATTGTGGAGAGTGCTGCTATGAACATTGGGGTACATGTGCTCCTATGCCTCAGCATTTCTATATCTCTTGGGTAAATTCCTAGCAGTGCTATTGCTGGGTCATAGGGGAGTTCTATTGTTAGTTCATAGAAGACATTTATTATCTCAGAGAAATAGTTTTAGTAAATAATGGTGGAGTGAATTATTAAGTCTGAAACTAAGAGGATACACTAAAGGTGACTTTTAGGAATAGTATTACTAATAGTATAAATTCACGGAAGACTGCAGTAAACCAAAAAAGAGAGAAATGTAAGGGCTCATAATTCTTAGAATTAGAGGTTTCCATCACATCTTTAACTGAGGCAATAATTCTGCATGGAAAGAGAGCAAAGAATGGTCTCATCATGGGGCACATGGGTGGCTTAACCAGTTAAGCATCAGACACTTGATTTCAGCTCAGGTCATGATCTCACTGGTGTGTGAGTTTGAGCTGCCAGGTGGGGCTCTGTGCTGACAGTGAGGAGCCTGCTTCGGATTCTCTCCCTCACTCTCTCTGCTCCTCCTCAGTTCCTGCTCTTTCAAAAAAAATAAATACACTTAAGAAGAAAAGAATGGTCTCATCATGCAACAGATATGAGGGCTATAGCAACCATGCATCATTACTTTTTTTTTTTTTTTTGCTTTATATATGTGTATACACTGAATAGCTATTTCCCCCTTTTCTTTTTCTTGTTATTCTTTATAAAGAGTGTTAATGAGTGATTAATTTAAATATTTAGCCTGTTGTGATGGTTAATTTTATGTATCAACTTGATTGGGGTGTGGAGTGCCTAAATATTTGGTCAAACATTCCCCTGGGTGTTTCTATGAGGGTGCTTTTGGGTGAGATTAGCATTTAAATCAGTAGACTGAGTAAAGCAGTTTGGGTGATCAATTGACATCATCTAATCAGTTTTCTGTCAGTTAATAGAATAAAAAGGTTGACCTCCCCTGAGTAAGAAACAATTCTTCCTGTCAGAGAATCTCTGAACTGGGACATTAGTTTGTTTGTATGTTTTTTCCCTACTTTCAAATGGAAACATCAGCTTTTCTTGAATCTCCAGCCTGCCAGTCTTAAGACAATGCAGATTTTCCTCAGGATTTACCCCCACCACCCTTCTTTGCTTCTAGATCTATAGCTAGACTCAAGTCCCAACAGGACTCTGGAGATAAGGTACAAAGTGAGACTCATGTGGAGATGTGCTACATTCTGAAAAAATGACTTGAGGGGTGCCTGGGTGACTCAGTCAGTTAAGTGTCCTACTTTGGCTCAGGTCATGATCTCACAGGCTCATGAGTTTGAGCCCCACCTAGCACTCTGTGCTGACATCTTGGAGCCTGGAGCCTGGTTCAGATTCTGTGTGTCCCTCTCTGTCTCTCTGCCCTCCTCCTGCTCATGCTTTGTTTCTCTCTCTCTCCCTCTCAAAAATAAACATTAAAACATTTTTAAATAAAAGAATGACTTGAGCTTTCTAACTTATACAGACAGAAATCTGGGGAATGTATATGGTAACAGAAACTACATATGAGGGATAATAGTGGATCAGGCCAAATTTATTGACATGGGCTCAATAAGCAAAGATTCTGCTTTTAATGTTGTGGCTTCAGGAATCAGAAAGAGCTATAACTGGCCACTTGCTTAAAACATAAATCAAAAGGTGGCCTATGGTATGTGAGTTAGAAATGCAAGACCTGCCTTGGTTTGATGTAGGGAAAGGGATTTGAGGGTTTATGGAAATGGGAACGTTAAAACCAGCTTACTCACCCTAGAAGGGTCCAAGATATACCTTTCACCATGACTGTGAGAAAGACATTTGTGAGGGAAGCCTCAGCCCCCTTGAAGACCTCTGGGGTTGCTCTTCGTTGCAGGCCACACTTCACAGGAGGAACTGTGTCACTGTGTTGGGAAGCTTGAATGCAATGGGAATAATTGGGTCCCAGGAGACAAGTGGCAGCACTCAACCACCAAAGGCAAGGTGCATGGTAATGGAGAGAAGACACAAAGCAGCAATGAGAATAGTTTAACTTGCACAGACTTATGCTCTTGGCTAGTTGAGCATGATGTTCCTAGAAGTGAAATAGAAAGGAAGCCTATTAAACTGTTACTTGATCTATATAAGCAGAAAATTTCTTGGTCAAGTGAACACAAAAATCAGAGTCACAGCCCCTCAATCAGTTCCCAGACCTGAGCCACTTTATAGATTCAGAATCCCTTGAATAAAGGGAAGTCTAATTTTCCTTGAGGAAGAAGCCTGGTAATTTATATTGTTAACCTTTCTTACAGTCTTCCACCAAAGAGAACTGTGGAATTTCACTAAGGTAACTGTACATTGGAGGAAAGGAAATAATCTGCCCTTTCAGAGATCACTAGACTCTGGCTCTGGACTGATACTAATTTCCGGAGGCCCGTCACTGTGGTCCACCTGTCAGAGTAGGAACTTATGGGGGTCAGATGATCAATGTGGCTTTAGCTCAGGTCTGTCTCACAGTGGATCCAGTGGGTTCCCATGCCCACCCTCTGTTTATTTACCCAGTTCTGGAATGCACAGTTGGAGTAGAAATAGACAACATCTGTCAGAATTCTCACATTGGTTACCTAACCTGTGAAGTAAGGGCTATTATGGTGGGAAAGACCAAGGAAGCCACCGGAACTGCCTCTGTGCAGAAAAAATAGCAAAACAAAAGCAATTTAACATTCCTAGATGGATTGCATGGATTAGTGCTATCATTAAGGGCTCGAAAAATGCAGGAATGGTAATTCCCACCACACCCCCATTTAACTTGCCTATTTGGCCTGTGTAGAAGACAGATGGATCTTGGAGAATGACAGTGGATTATCATAAGCTCTTCCAGGTGGCAATTCTAATTGCAGCTGTTGTACCAGATGTAGTTTCCTTGCTTGAACAAATTAACCCATCCCCTGGTAAAACCTGGTATGCTGCTATTGACCTGACAAATGCTTTTTTAAAATACAGTTATCTATTAGTAAAGACCATCAGAAGCAGGTTTCTTTTATCAGGCAAGGCCAGCAATACACCTTCACTGTCCTACCCAGAGGTATATAAACTATCTAGCACTGTGTCATAATTTACTTTGCAAGAATCCTGATTGCCTTTGCCTTCCACAAAATACCCTGGTCCATTACATTGATGGCATTATGCAGATTGGACTTAATGAGCAAGAAGAAACTACTCTAGACTTATTGGTAAGACATTTGTGTGTCAGAGATGGGGAAATAAATCCAATAAACAGTCAGAGGCCTTTTATCTCAGCGAAATTTCTAGGGGTCTAGTGGTGTAAGCCATCTCATAAGATGAAGGATAAATTGTATCTTGCCCCTCCTCCAGCTGAGAGAGAGAGAGAGGAGAGAGAGAGACAAAGTCTAGTATACTTTTTTGGATTACAGTGGCAATATATTTCTCATTTGGATGTGTTGCTCTGTGTAAGCATTGACCAATTGATCTGAAAAGCTACTAATTTTGAGTGGGGCCCTAAAGAAGAGAAGGCTCTGCAATTGTCCAGGCTGTTATGCACGCTGCTCTGCCTCTTGGGCTCTGTGATCCAGCAGATCCGGAGGATCCAGCAGATCCGGAGGATCCAGCAGATCCAGCAGTGCCTGAAGTGACCGTGGCACACAGGGATGCTATCCGAAGCCGTTGACAGGACATAACATACATGAGAACCACAGCGGCCATGCTTAATTCCTTTCTTTTTTATAGTTGGGGAGAGGGAGGGAGACAAACCATGAGAGACTCTTGAATATTGAGAACAAACTGAGTGCTGATGGGGGTGGGGGAGAGGGGAAGAGGGGTGATGGGCATGGAGGAGGGCACTTGTTGGGATGAGCACTGGGAAACCAACTTGACAATAAACTATAAAATAAAAAAATATAAAAATTATAGAACTGAAAAAATTCCTCTCTCTTTTGCTCTCTGAATGAGTATATATAAGTAGGTATTTTCTCCCTTTTTTTTTTCTTGCTATTTTTGTAAAGAGTATTGGTGGAGAGTTAACTTGATTATTTAGCCTTTAGTTATAGGATATCTGCGATGAATTGGGACTAAACTACAAACGAAACTCACCTAGAGAAGGATATGACTGGTGAGTCTTTGGGACAGTGTAGTCTGAGAGGAAGGGGAGTGTGTCTTTGTGTTAAGGACTATTGCTTCATGTTAGGCAGAAACATTATATTATTGTTTAGAAGTTTAAATTGGAGTTTAAGAGTGCGTGTGGATGACTTGCCAAAGGCGTAAACTATGCCAGGTATGTGCCTTGACATCCAGCATCATCCTCACCAATCTATGTTGTCTTCTGAATCACAAAGGCTAAAAATCTGGAAATGGAGTTTCTTTTTTTTTTTTTTTGGAAATAAAATTATTTTATTTTATTATTTTTTTACAAATAGTTTATTGTCAAGTTGGTTTCCATATAACACCCAGTGCTCATCCCCACAAGTGCCCTCCTCCATGCCCATCTCCCCGCTACCCCCCCACATCCATGAGTCCTCAGTTTGTTCTCAGCATTCAAGAGTCTCTCAAAGTTTGCCTCTCTCCCTTTCCCCCACCATTTCTCCCCTTCTTCTCCCCCATGGTCCTCTGTTAAGTTCCTCCCAATCCTCCTATACGTGCAAACATATGATATTTGTCCTTTTCTGTCTGACTTATTTCGCTCAGCATAACATCCTCAAGGTCCATCCATGTTTGCTACACATGGCCAGATTTCATTCTTTCTCATTGCCTTGTAGTAGTATGCCATTGTATAGATAAACCACATCTTCTTGATCCATTCGTCCGTTGATGGACACTTAGGCTCTTTCCATGTTTTAGCTATTGTGGAGAGTGCTGCTATGAACATTGGGGTCCATGTGCTCCTACGCATCAGCATTTCTGTATCCCTTGGGTAAATTCCTAGCAGTGTTATTGCTGGGTCCTAGGGGAGTTCTATTGTTAGTTTCCTGAGGAACCTCCACACTGTGTTCCAGAGGGGCTGTACCAGTTTACATTTCCACCAACAGTGTAGGAGGGTGCCCGTTTCTCCACATCCTTGCCAGCATCTAGAGTTCTCTGATTTGCTCATTTTAGCCACTCTGACTGGCGTGAGGTGGTATCTCAGTGTGGTTTTGATTTGTATGGGAATGGAGTTTCTAAGACTCCCTTACTACTGGAGTTCTGTGTTAGGTTCAGCCAGTGAAAACACAAATGACAAACTATGAAGCAGGGAGAAAGTAAAAACATTTTCTTCTGACTCTGGCAATGATCGTGACGACAGACTAGGATAGTTTCTTGCAGTAGTGGTATTAACTACAGGCAAACATGGGATCAGATGAGCTCCAGGATGGATGGTAGCTTATTACATTTTGTGAGCTCTGATCCCTGGGAGGTTTCATCTTCCTTCCATGTGTGCTCCTTAAATGTTTCCAAATTCATAGAAATGAATTCTCCATGTTAAGTGTTTTTCTATTTCAAATATCTAGAGTGTCTTCTCTTTTCCTGACTGAATCCTGACTGATATAGAAGACCTACTCTCACCTTTTCTAAATCTTACTATGGTGTATCACCCCCAGGGTGTGGTAATCTCTCTCTTTTTTAAAAAAGATTTTTATGTTTAAGTAACACCTACACCCAAGGTGGGGCTTGAATTTACAAGCCTCAGGTCAAGAGTTGCACACACGGACTGTGCCAGCCAGGCACCCTAGTGGTAATCTCTTTAGATCCAAATGAATGTAATAATTAGACTCATTGATAACAATGATAAAAACATTAAACAGCTGAGTAACACATTTTTTTAAGAAGTTAACTATTGAGAGAGGCATTTTCATGCATGCTGTCTTTTATTCTCACTCAGTCACATAAGAATGGGTCTTAGGCCTGGAACAGGGCCTCCTTACCAAGATGTAAAGAGCCTATACAGCCTGAGCTGGGCTTATCACTTTATGTGTGAGTATTTTTCCCTATTTCAAACTCAGTGTGTGCTCTTTTATTAAGCTTAAGTGTGTATCTTTAAATTTTTAAAAATATTTTATTTATTTTTGAGAGAGAGAGAAAGAGATACAGAGCATGAGTGGGGGAGTATCAGAGAAAGAGGAAGACACAGAATCTGAAGCAGGCTCTAGGCTCTGAGCTGTCAGCACAGAGATTGACAAGGGGCTTGAACTCATGAACTGTGAGATCATGACCTGAGCTAAAGTTGATGACTCACTGAGCCATCTAGGCACCCCTTAAGTGTATATCATAATGGCCTTCAGACATCCCCCCAGCTTTCAGTATTTTCGGCTCTATGTGGAGAGAAAGAGGTCCTTCCAGAAGCATTGAGAGGGATACATGTAGGTAAATTGCCCTGTGTAACTTGTTGGGAAAGATCCATTGGTCATGAAGGATTAATACCCCCTACTAATGTTGCTCTTGCTCTTTCTCTTTTATATGTTAAGTATTGCTCCATCCAGTGCTTGGCTTACTTGTATTTTCCTTGATGCAACAGGAATACTTCAATACCAAGATGGAGCAGGATGAAGTGTTACCAGTAACCTGTGCATAGTGTTATGCTCCCTTGGGATAGATATCTGGTGCATGGTATTCTGCTTGATATTAAGTAGTTCCTAGTTCTTGTTTTCAACGAAGAACTTTCAGACTTTACCATTTCTGATGCTCTTCATTATTTCTTGAAGAATCAAGATTCCATATGTATAACTTCCCTTCATTATGAAGAACCTTACTTAGTATTTCTAGTAATGCAGCTCTTCTAGCAATATATTCTGTTAGTTTTCTTTTACTTGAAATTATCATTATACCACCTTGATTCTAGAAGAATACTTTCATGGGATACAGAATTCTGGGCTGGATGCTTTTTTATTTAAAAAATTAAAAAATGTAGTTCAGGAGATGATCCAAGATGGCAGTATAGCAAAACCCTGGACTCACTTCTCCCACAGACACGCGGAATCTACACCTACATATAAGCAATTCCTAATGAAGAAGAATTAAATGCCAATTGAACTTCTGCACAGCAAGGGATATAGGAATCCCACAGAGAAGATTTGGAGAGACAGAGACATAGTAACTACGGGAATCCCATTCCTAATGTGACAACCTACGATAGGGAGGGATGTAACAGAGACATCACCACAAACATGAAATCTACAGATAACACAATGGCACTAAATTAATATCTTTCAATCATACTCTGAATGTAAAGAAACAAAATACCCAATCAAAAGATAGGGTATCAGAATAATTTTTTTTAAAAAAAGCAAAACAAAACAAGACCCATCTATATGTTTCCTACAAGAGACTCACTTTAGACCTGAGGACACCTGCAGACTGAAAGTAAGGGGATAGAGAACCATCTATCATCCTAATGGACGTCAAAAGAAAGCTAGAACAGCCATACTTATATCAGACAAACTAGAATTTGAAACAAAGACTGTAACAAGAGATGAAGAATGATGAATTATATCCTAATTAAAGGGTCTATCCATCAATAAAAGCTAACAATTATAAATATTTATGCCCCCAACGTGTGAATCCAAATGCATAAATCAGTTAATCACAAACATAAGCAAACATATTGATAATAACACCATAATTGTAGGAGACTTTAATACTCTACTTAGAGCAATGGACAGATCATTTAAGCAGAATATCAATAAGGAAACAATGGCTCTGAATGACACATTGGACCATATGGACTTAACAGATATATTCAGAACATTTCATCCTAAAGCAGCAGAATACACATTCTTCTCTAGTGCACATGGAACATTCTCCAGAATAGATTACATACTTGGTCACAAAGCAGCCCTCAACAAGTATAATAAGACAGATCATACCATGCATATTTTCAGGTCACAATGTTATGAAACTTGAGATCAACCACAAGAAAAAATTTGGAAAGACCCTAAATACATAGAGATTAAATAATATCCTACTAAAATATGAACGAGTTAACCAGGAAATTAAAAAAGAAATTAGGCTGCACCAGTTTGCATTCCCATCAACAGTGTAAAATTTTTCTATCAGTCTACTTATCCATTTATATGTGATCTTTCTACTGTATTTACTTTCATACTCTCTTCTACAGACTTTAAGAATTTCACTCTAGGGGTTCCTGGGTGGCTCAGTGGGTTAAGCACCCTACTTTGGCTCAGGTCATGATCTCATGGTTTGTGGGTTCGAGCCCCTCAATGGATTCTGTGCTGACAGTAGCAACGTAGATGGAACTCAAAGGTATTATGCTAAATGAAATAAGTCAGTCAGAGAAAGACAGATACCATATGTATTCACTCATCTGTGGATCTAGAGAAACTTAATAAAAGACCATGGGGGAGGGGAAGGGGGAAAAATTACAGACAGGGAGGGAGGCAAACCATAAGAGACTCTTAAATACTGAGAACAAACTGAGGGCTGATGGGGGTGAGGGAGAGGGGAAGGGGGTTGATGGGCATGGAGGAGGGCACTTATTGGGATGAGCACTGGGTGTTGTATGGAAGTCAATTTGACAATAAACTATACTAAAAAAATTAAAAAAAAAGAAATTAGGAACTACATGGAAGCAAATGAAAATTAAAACATGACAGTTCAGACGCCTTGGGATGCAGCAAAGGCAGTCCTAAGAGGTAAATATATTGCA